CCTCTGCAAGAGCAGTATGTGTTCTTAACTGCTAACTGCTGAGCCAGCTCTCCAGCCCTTTTTGTTTTTCTTTTTAACATTGACTTTCCGGTCTCCCTAAATTCTCTCTCTCTCTCTCTCTCTCTCTCTCTCTCTCTCTCTCTCTCTCTCTCTCTCTCTCTCTCTCTCTCTTTTGTTCTGGGAATAGAACCCAGGGCCTCATATGCATGATAAGCATGTGCTCTGCCATTGAGCCACATTCCCTGCCCTGGACTTTATTCCTGACAGTATCTGGGGGAGAGAGAAGGGAGGATGAGAGAAAGAGAGAGAGAGAAAGAAAGAGAGAGAGAGAGACCAGTGGAAGGGAGGGAGACTCCCACTACCACCACCACCACCTTCCACCCCCCAAGCCCTTTCCTTTCCTCCCACCACCAAAGCAGGTGTAACTGGTTCTATCTTCAGAGCAGACAGCAGGTCTTTAGCTTTTTAGGGAGCAGCATACACACCGAAATGCCAGAGTACAAACTAAGTGTCCAGTGCTGAGCTGCTGGGACTGGAAGCCGGCATCCTCATTAGCAGGAGTGGCTCTTATTTCCAGCCTGTCTCTATTTAGTGAAAGCAGGTCATTACAAACACAGTACATTTTTTGCATATTAACCAAATTAAAATAATAATATGTTCTCTCCTTTCATGTATTATACTGATACATTTCGATTTTTGAATGAAACATGCTGATTAGTTAGTTAAAAAATAATTAGTCCCAGAATATGCTTTGAAGTTAAAGGCTTAATGAATGCACACAAATCTGGTTTTCTCCAAGTCCTCAGCAGATTAGTCTTTTGAAGGAAAATATTCATGTGTTCATGAGAAACACATGATGAAGTAGCTCAGTTTTCTTTTCTTTTTTGCTTGCTGTGCAAGATGATATTTGAATGTTATTTTAGTGCCTTGTGGGGCTGGAACATTTCAGAGAAATGTACCCAGCAGTGGCTGTTCTGCTTGGTTGAGCTGGGATGTGCAGATTGTCAAGGTGAATGTCCCATTCTCAGAGCTCCTAGGATGGCGAGAGCTTTCCACTGTGTTACGGAGTTTTCATTTCTGGGGTCTGAAGGCTGATTACAGAAAATCCAAGGTGGTGGAGAACATGCGGGTAGCATCTACAAAACCAGGAACAGTTTCTTAAATTTCCGTTTTGTTCTTAGGCCTGCAGAAAACAATATTGGATTTCAGATAAAATTGAGGTATTTTGGCCAGTGAGAATCAGACGACCTCAGGGCACTAAGATTGTTGTCAAGAGCCCTTGACCCCACAGACCAACTGGGCATCCCTAAACTGGGAGGTAGTAGTTCACACAATTGGACCTTACTGGGGCCATGACATTCCAGAGATAGCTTGTACTGCCTTGTAGATTGTCAGAGTCACCTCTCAGAAAGTCTTAACTTGCCTGTTGGGTATATTAAGGCATATTAAGATTGTTTAGTTTAGTTCCCACCCATACTGGGCCAAATTTGTTTTTGTGGCTTTGAACCCCAAGTGAAGTAGAAGTAGTAGCTTTACATTTAGGACACTGTGTGGAAATCATATCCACATACACCAGAATTCTTTGACCATGAGAGGCCCTAAGGAACAGAAAGGAGTGCAGAGGACAGCTGCAGGTTCAGGCTTGGTCCCACACTCCCTCTATTAGATGAGAGGAATGGTCAGTGTTCTGACAATTTCCTTTTTGTCCCCAATTCACATGAGTTGAGTTGCCCTACTACCCTCTGTGAATATGGTCTAAGAGAATAAAACCTGAGGTCACATAGGCCTGACTGCATAAATTGATATTTTATTTCCCTGGGTTTCAATGTGCATATCTGTAACTTTGGGATAAGACTAAGCTCCTACAGAAAACTCACTATCGGCAGGGACTGTTCAATGCATTATCTATAGTCTCACATCTCTAATCCTGGCCATTGGTCTAGCCATGACAGGAAAGATAGAATATTACAGTCTGTGTCAGGACCTGCATTGTAGACTGCAACCAGCCAAAGCTATGTTGTTGCTGTGTTGCTGCTCTTGAGCCTCCTCTTCCATGGCTCTGTCACACTTCTTCCCCTTCTCTCATTCACTAGTTATTCCTTGGTAAATTCAGTTGATATCTACTGGGTTTGGGCTATAAGGGATCAAAAAAATCAAGAGGTCCTGAGCATTCCTCTGATGGACTTCCTCTCCTTCTCTGCCTTTGCTGGTTTCCCAGGGATGGCTGTCTCTGTTCGAAGTATGTCTGCCAAATTCTTCCATGAAACTCCCTCTGTTAACGCTGAGCTAGAATCAGTTCTGATGGTCAGGCAAACTTTAGCCTTATCAATCAGTATGAGTCACAAAACACCTGGAAACTTGCCTCAGCACTCACCTGGATCCTCCCCACTCCTTGTCCCTGCAGCAGGGATGCAGTATTTGTTCTGAGAAATGTATCTGTTGGTCTAGGTCAAGTATTTGGTGTGGCCTCCTGATACCATGAGACATGGTGAATATGGGGTCTATGGGGTTGCTGGTTTAGCAGAGCATACTGTTCTATAGTAAACTTCCCTTTTTGTAAGCAGAAGGAACACACTGTAAAATAATGGTAAATGTATAGTACAGTAAATGCATAAACCATTAATAGTCACTTACTACCAAGAATTATGTGCTGTCTATAACCAAGTACACTATCCCTTGATGTTACTGGAAATGCAGTAGATGTTCATACCAGCAGCACACAGTACATGCACAACAACATTAGCTCTATGGCTTCACTAGGCAAGAAGAATTCTTTCAGCTCCATTATCACCTTACAGGACCACTGCTATATATGTGGTCAGTGGATGACTGCAATGTTGTCATGTGGCTCTTGACCGTTTCCATCTTTTCTCTATTCTACATTTGCAAATTAACTTTTCTTGCCTGCCTTCTCCATCTGACTCTGAGCCCCTGGAAAGTGGAGGAGACTGATTATTGCTCCGTTCTGCAACTAGCTAGCCCAGGGATGGCGTCTAGAAGCTATTAATGACATGAAACCCTAGAAGGAAGGATCTGGTATGTTTTCACCCATTGAGGAAGTGGTTACAGGCTATAAAGTGATCTTTATAGATACCTTCTCTCCACCCCCAAATTTTGGTACAAGAAAGCTCAGCTTTTCCTATGAAAATGTCAAAATACATAAGAAAATTGTATGTAAATATTCTGTGTTATTTGGGTTTTATGTTCAGAAAAGGGATAAAGACAAACTCTTGTTGTCCCCACAGTTGCACCTTGCTGGGGCCACAACATTTCAGAGATAGCTTGGACTGCCTTGTAAATTGTGAGTCATCTCTCAGAAAGTCTTTAACTTGCCTGTGGGGTGTGTAGGCATAGTAAGATTGTTTAATTCCCAGATTCATAAGCTTTGAACCCCAAGTGAAGAAGCAGGTTTTCATTTAGGACACTGTATGGAAATCATACACACATACACGAGGATACTTTGCCTGTGAGTGGCCCTAAGAGGGGTACAGAGGACAGCTGCAGGTTCAGCTTGGTCCCACATTCGCCTCTGATGGATGAGAGGAATGGCGCATCTCCTTAAAATCATTTTTGTCCCCAGTTCACATGAGTTGAGTTGCCCTACTACCCTCTGGGAATATGGGCTTCTGTCTGCTTCATGGTTGAGCTTTTGCACACCTGGTCTGCAAGTGTCTGTGCAGGTAGCTGGGAAAGGAGTGTGCGTAAAAGGAAGCAAGGCTTTCTGGACCCAAGTGGCAATCCAGTGCCATCTGCTTCCATCCACTTCAAGGAAGTCTCCCTTCTGTGTTCGCTTTCTGTTGCCTTTCTAGGTAGGTCTTTTGGACATCCTGTGAATCAAGAGTGCCCAGGGCCCACAGAAAGCCTGGGAACACAGGGCACAATGCAAGGCTACAGGTCCTGTTATGACCTCCTTTAGAAGCTGTGTGCAGCAATGAACTATAGTCAGGCAGACATGGGTACAAATCTGACTTAAGTTCCCAGCTGTGTGATCTCAGATAAGATTTTTGACCATTCGTGTCTTACTTTCCTCTCTTGATAGACTTGCTGTGAGAATGAATACACATGATCATACTTTGTGGAACTGAAAAGTTGAATACACAAGTTGACTTTTTCTTTCTTTTTATATTGTTTGGAACAAGGTCTCACTATGTCGTCCAGGTTGACCTTCAACATTGTTCTAAAATGATCCTCCTGCCTCAGTCTCCCCAATTTGGTTGCACATGCTGATAGTTTGGGGTTGACTTTTGTTGTTGTTTATGTGTTTGTTTTAATGCTGTGGATTAGACCTGAGGCCTCATGCATACTACATGTTGATTGTTTTATGAATGTAACAGGAATTTAAAATTGAAGCTTCCAGGTTATAACAGCTGCTACATTCCACAGGCTAAATGAGGAAGGCCAGCCGAGTACAGATTTTCAGAAGTACAGTGCAGAAGCCAGTTGTGTACTTCTCAAAGCTCGTATTTGGAAGATGGAAAAGGATCAGAGTTCTGATATTTAGGGGAGAGTACATGAAGACTGTTTTGGAAAGGCGTATGTGCTGTCCTTTCAGCTTTGGTCCATGGAGACTCGCTGAGAGCCCGTGCCCTGCAGCTGGTCATATGGAGACTGTAATGACTGGTGACAGCAGAGGAGAAGTAGGGCATGATCTGCAGTGGTAGGTCAGAGGCAAGGGAAGCAGAGGGCATGGATTTTGGAATCACATTTGGAATAACAGTAATAATGTCTTGGATCATTGTCCAGGAGGAAATACCTGAGTGCAGAGGCCATGTTGGGAAATGAGAAAACTAGCCAAATGAGAAACCTGCCTACATTTGGGAGCTGGCATCACAGCTGGTCCAGCGGGGCTGTCTCCAGAAACCTGATAGAGCACCCAGGAAGGTGACTGTCAGCTTATGGCATAGCACCTGCCAGCCTCTGAGAGGGCAAAACTAACTTTGACAGTACCAACCAATTAAGAGCTTTCCCACCCTCCTTCACTTTTTTCCTTATCCCCACAGGATTCTCAGAGGGACCAGAAACTAGGTCCACAAGCTAGTGGAAGAGTAGAAATGCTGGATCCACAGGTTCTTGATGGCAGCAAGCCCAGGCAGGAAGAAGAGCGAAGAATGACACAACAACTGGAGGCAGTGTCTCTGACTTAAAGTGACCACAAGACCTTTTTTAATTACCTAACAGAGAGCAGAGAACCATGGATCTCTCTGTGTTCTCATTCAGGAGCAAGAGCCATATGGCACCCCGGGAAAATGCGAGGCAAAGGAAGTCCTGCTTGTTCAGTATCTTCATACTTGATTATTACTATTTATCCAGCACTCAACATGTCCAAAGTGCTTTATATTTTCAAAATGACTCATGGGGGTGGGTACAGCTACAGCTTCCGTTTGTTTAGGAAGAAACTGAAGCTCAGCAAGGTTGGATCATCTGCCTCCAGCTGCAGGGTAAGTGGGATGAGCCAGGATTGGAAGCAGGCAGTCAGGCTCCAGAGCTGGCAGCCTGCCACCTTCCCTTCCCAGTCTCTAGAGGCAGGTCAGACAAGGTATCTGGGGAAAGACTGAAGTTGTCCCTTGGGCCTCCAAGTGCACTCAGCTAAAAATACTTCAAGAGTTCACAGGATTTTCTTTAATCCCTGTGGGGAAGGATTTCAGGGAGACATACTGTTTTGATTGGAATGACTTGGTTTTAAATACTGAGATCCATATAAGCTAGCTTAATGGGAAAAAACAAAAACAAAAACAAAACATCATGGTAAGGATACTGAGATATGTTTTGGAAGCTTGTCCCAGTTCTCTCTACCTCAACCCTGCCCTTGCTCAGCCTCCTTTCACTGACATTCCTCATCTATTTTGTACATAACTGCTCAAGCTCCTGGGTTAAGGGAATTTTAGTTCCCTCTCTAGGGAGACTAATTGTCTAAATACTGACTCAAAACATACAGAAAGATGCACTTAAACACTGAGCACCTGCTGGTGCCAGGCTTTATTTTAGGTACTTGGAATGTACTAGTGTACAAAGCATGTATAAAATTTTAAAGGGAAAAAAGTAAGAACAAATCCCTTCCCTTTTGAGGGTGTCGCTTCCAGTGACATTCTGATTGGTCTATCTCGGGTCATCTGATTTCTTCTCCTGATCCAATCATTATTACCTGTGGAAGAGTCCAAGTGTAGGGCACAGTGTAAAGGCCAGTACCTGCGAATGAGCCCAATCTGGAATCTAGAACTGCATGTGCTGGAAGTCCTCCAAGCCAGAAGTTTTCAGTGTACAGTTGGGCTGGTCCTAGCAAAGCTTCAGCCTTTCCATCACAGTAGCTGCTTGGCCTCAAGGTCTTGCTGCTGATCAGTCTCAGGAGGGCCCTGCTTCCTTAGCCTCACTGCCAGGATCTTTCATACTAGGTTTGGCACAGAGTTGTTCCTAATCCCAGCCTGGGGTAATCGATGAAGCCACATTGTGTTTTCCCCGTTGCCGTTTTCCCCGTTGCTTTTCATCCTCTTCTCCATCCATCCTCAGTGTCCTACTTAGTATCGGCTCTCAACTTGACAAAGGCTAGAATTACCTGAAAAAAGAGTTTGAATCCAGTGATTGTTTTTATCAGGTTGGTCTGTGGATGTGTCTGTGAGAGATTGTCTTGATTGTTAGTTGATACAGAGGGCCCAACCAACTGTGGGTGATACCATTCCCTGAACCGGTGATCTTAGGCTGTGTTAGAAAGCTAGCCAAACATGAGTCGGTGAGCAAGCCAATAAGCAGTGTTCCTTCGTGACTTCTAGGTTTCTGCCTCGAGTTCCTGCCCTGACTTCCTACAGTGATGGACTGTGACCTGGAAATGTAAGCCACATAAGTAAGTCCTTTCCTTCCTTGAGCTGCTTTTGGTCAGAGTAGTTTATCACAGCAACAGAGAGGAAAGCAGAACACCGAATGAACCTTCTTAAAGGGGAAATAGGGAAATCTTTTCTGCTATACACCCTAAGCTCAGACAGCTGGGAATAACAGAGCGCATAGAAAAGGTGGCTATACTGGAGCTGTTGTCCCCCAGTTGGGCTCCTCTGAGGCAGTGATGCTGCTTTGTACAGCTGGGCCTGGCTGTGGGGGCCAGGCTGAATGGACCTTGTCAATGCCCTGCTTCTTCCTTGCCCTACAGGCTATGATCAGTGGTGGCCTGCATTGTTAGGGTCCTCTCATGCCTCCCGTTTGATGGCTGCTGTGATCAGCTTTGCTAATGCCAACTGCCACTTTTCAGTTGGCTTGGTTCCAGGCATCCCTGTCTTCCTACTATTTCTACATCTTTTGTTTCGTTCTGTTTTAATGTGAGCCGCTGAACATTCAGCAGTGAAGCAGATTACATCAGATGCTGCATTTGCCTACCTCAGCACTAAGCTGTGTCTCTTACTGCTGCAGCAGGAAGCCTGCCTAGTTTTCACTAAGATGCAGTTCATACTTCGAATGGGGGTTCAGAGGATCCCTGAGTTTTGTCAGTTGAAATGCCTAGTACTCCATCTTTTCCTGGTGGACAAGAGCACAGACACCCAAGTCATAGTCTAGCAGTCAGTCCCACTGGAGGCACTTTCATGCATGACTCTATGTGTGTAACTTAACCCTTGAGTCCCCAGCTTATCATGGAAAATGAAGTTGATAATGGTTTCCTTACTGTGTCACTGTGAATTAAAATCAGGATACTGCATGGTTTCTGGTACATAGTAATGACCCAATACACAGCAGCCATTGTTAATATATTTGTTACACACTGATTCTTGAGTTCCATCACACAACATAATCTCCGTAATATAGTAACAGCATGTGGAAACCAGACTCCACAGACAGACAGACTTGTAAGAGTTACGATGATCACCTATGCTTCTAGGGCTGTCGTAAGAATTAAATAGGATGAGGGATGCTGTCACAGCACAAGTGCATTAGTGCTTCACAGGTCTTATTTGTTTCTACTTAGCAGCTCCATGGGTAGGTAATAGATGCATTTTCCACTTGAGGAAACTGAGGCATTAACAGAGGTATTGAGTAACTGCTTCAGACTACATAATGCAAGAAGAGGATAATCAACCCATTCACTGTGCTAAAGGCCACTGTCTGCTCTATATGAAGTGTCTGGCACTAGTAGGAGGTTTAAAAATGTGAATTATGTTTCGGCAAGGCTGCAGAGCAGAATGGATGTTGAGGATACTATGCATGGGGCTCAAGCTAATAGTGTAACCAAACACATCCAGACTACTTGCTGTGTTCCAGGTGTTCCACTGGAGATTTAGAATGTGTAATTCTGTGGAGTCTTGAGAACCACCATGTGTGATAGATGCATAGGTCCCTGTGGTCCATGTGAATTCTGTTCACACACAGCTCTGGGGTTCTTGATCTCAGAATAGACCAGAGAGAGCTTTTCCTAAGAGTTGGGAGGAAAAGTGACTCCTGTGGTAGGCCCCAGCCAAATAGCAAACAGGATGTGTGGAGATTTGAAAGGACAACCTTGTCATGGCCAAATTTCCACCCTTATTTTCCACTGGTCCAGAAAAATATATGCACAAAGCACAGCAGTCTCTAGGGTAGGAACCTAGAGGTGTCAGTCAGTGACCAGAAGGAAACAGATGGCACTTTCAAATTAAGCAAGATGTGAGGAGACTTTAATAAAGGAGCTGTTTGCAAAGGTGAGGGAGACCCAGGAGACATAGAGTACTATTCCCTGGAGCTGGTAATAGTCCTTTGCTGTCACCTTCTCTAGGCCTAAGGGTACAGGACAGAGACCACCCTGGAGGCGGCCACCTGGCAGGAACTATAGCCTTTGGCAAGAGATTCAGACACCCCATTATGGTCCTGAAATAGAGGAGGTAGGGTGTAAATACCCCACCACTGTCGCCATCTTCTTAGGCTTCCTTTTGCTGTTGCCTCACCAGGACCTACAAGGGTAGGAACGGCCTCCCAGGGGCACAGGGCAGGGAGACAAAGGGTGGAGGATGTTGGGGGTTGGATAAACAAGTGGGGCTTGGGGGATGACTCAGGAACGCTGGAACCACAGGGAAACTATTGTTAGTCTAAGACTGAAAAACTTGCTGGCACAACCAAGTTTGGGACCCCAGTGATAATAGTGTGATTCTTTGGCTGTGGAGAGAAGTAGCCAAGGCACGACTGTATTTGTGCCAGCCACACTGGAAGCCTGTCATTGCCTTCTGCTTCTCTACACGTAGGATGGCGGGCTCTTAACCCACTTACATAGGATGGTGGTCTCTTAACCCACTTAAAGTGAACTGGCTTGAATCTAAGCTTTCTCTATGGCCATTCTCTGCGGCACAAGAGATACCCAGCTTAAGAGGGCTTGATAAGCTCCAGAATGACTTGGATTGCAAACTGCATGTTCTTCACACCTGGCTTACACTTCACTTCTATGCTCTTACCTGACTTCTGTGTATGTCCATCTCACACACACACACACAAATACAACATGACATTGCGTAGTATCTGGTTGGGGGGTGGGGCGGAGGTGATGCCAGGAACTGAGCTCCCCTACCAATATCAAGATGTGCACATGCTCAAGTCCCTCACATAAAATAATGTAGTGCTTATGTAAGACTTCATACAGCTTCCTGTATGTATCACATCACCTCTAGATTACTAAATTAGTTATAATACATAATATAATGTAAATGCTGCATAAATAGTTGTTGCACTGTGTTGTTTAGGGAAAAATGACCGGGAAAAGTCTGTACATGTTCAGTAACAATGTCATTGTTTTTCAAATATTTTTGGCATTGGGTTGAGTCCATAGACACAAGAATCATGGATGGAGAGGGCCAAGTGTACCCAGTTAAACTATGAACACCCCACAATGGCATGTTGTATTCATCTCCGTATGCCCAGAACCTGACACAAGGCTGACATATTGTGGCATACCAATAAATGTTCATTAGTCTTTATGTCTCTGTGGTCCTCAGATTCCAGTTTTGTGGTGTTCCTTAAGCCCCAACTGCTTCCAAGCACTATATCAGGCCATTTTTCATTTCTATTTTTTACTTTAATATTCCCAACCACTCTGGTTATAGTATCCTCATTTTTACAAATAAGGAAACTGAGGCTCAAAGAGATGAAAGAGACAGAATGTGGATTTGAATAGAGTTCTGCTTGCTTCCCTGCTCTAATGTCCTTTGCTTTTCTGCTCACAAGCTCTCTCTGGATTGGTCAGTGAACATTTACTTCATACATATGCATGGACTGACAGCATGAATGAGCCCAGCAGTGCCTCTGTGCCTGTGTGCTTTGTGCAGCTCCATGCCGATCAGTGAGTGTCCTGGCCTGCTGCAGTTGTAGTCCCACCCTCTAAAAAACATTTAAAATAATTCAGATTAACATAACTGTGAGATACAGTGTGATATTTAAATATATGAATACAATGTAGACTGATCAAATCAGGAAATTTCTGTTTCCCCCTTGTTACCAGTATTTTGTTTAGAACCTTTGAGCTCCTCTCTCTCTACTAGTTATTCATAAAATAGATAATGGGTCATTGTGGGCTGCAGGCATCCACTGTGTTGGAAGACACTAGCGCTTCTTCTTTCTGTCTAAATGTGTTTAATGCCCCAAACCGCTCATCTCCTCTGACGGCGCTGCCAAGAAGAGCATTCATCGTGCCTCCTGCCCCCCAGCTTAACTTGAACCTATGCAGGATGAGCTTGAGATCAGGTCAGGTGAATGCTGTCCTTATTTTGAGTTCAAATTGGCTATAAGGAGCCCTACTCTGTCATACTTGGCTTTTCCCCATTGATTCAGAGCACACATATTTCTGGCAGTTTCTTCTGTGGAATGGTTGGAACAAAATTGTCAAGTGCCTGCCCTTTCAGTGCTCTGAAATGGAGCTGCCAAAATCCAACTGTTCTAGAAGAATCCCAAACACATAAATGAGAGAAAGAGAGAAAGAGAGAGAGAGACAGAGACAGAGACAGAGACAGACAGAGAGAGAAGCAGAGTAGGCACGATGGCACAGCTCTTAAGCCCTGTAAGCCTGAGGTTTGATTGGCACAGTGGAGGGAGAGAACCAGCTCCTGAGAGATGCACACACCTGAATTCTCTCACATACTCTAATAATAATTTTGTTTTATTTGTTTTTTTGAGATAGGGTCTTCCTGTACCCATAGTTTGCCTGGGACTTGCTATGTAGACAAGGCTGACCTTGACTTCTCAGAGATCTGCCTGCCTCCTCAGTGCTGGGATTAAGGGCATGTGCCACCACACCCAGCATAATAAAAAAAATTTTAAAAAGAGAGAACAAAACTAAAAGCTGACCATGTTATACATATTAATTTTCTTAATCTTCATAACAACACTGAAGATAGGAACTATTGTTAGTTGTGTTTTGTTGACAGTGGGCCTGAGGCTTTAGGGTACTGAGGCAGTTGTCCTCCGGGCATGCCTGCAGTCTGGCTCTCATCTGTAGGTGGGACCAGCCCTAGGGTGCTTTCTACTGCTCTAAACCATTGACCTCAATCACAGGTACTTTTGCCTCAATTCTTCCTTATCACCTTCTGCACTGTTTTACTAAGGATTCAGGGCAGATTGGGATCTGACCTAGAAAAACATCTTCCTGACCCTTCAATGAGAGAGACAGAGACAGAGAAGAATCTGTTTCTAGGCTGATTGTAAAAACCTAAGGCATTTCCATGACAAGTGTTTCTTCTTCCTGTCAGTCCTCAGGGTACTTTCCCTGTCCCTTTGTATGGCCCTTGTTCCAAGCTGCCCCTCATCTTCCTTTCTAGGCAGGAAGCTCTTCAAAGGCAGTTCTGCATCTAATCCTTCTTTGTCTTCCT